GGTTTACTCAGTGTGTAATCAAAGGGGTTCAGTATTTTATTCCCGGTAGGGGAAAGTCAATCGAACTAAGAATGGTCAGATGTGGACTAGTGGAAGTAATGAAACGTGGTAATTGCCAGTGTGGCGGAGTTCTCCTCTATATGGGGGTGCTGTTGTCCTAATTGGACGTATTAAGTTTATCGGTGTTATGATCTTCTATGATTTGCCCCTGGGGCAAGATATTGTGAAATAGTATTGGAGATGCAACTATCAGATATCGCAGGGTGCGGTGGTTTTGAATTGAATCAGTATTTCAAATGTGGCGGCTCAAGGAAGATGACCTTCGGAAAAGTTTGGGGTTAGTAGCAAATTGTGGATTTAAGTTCTATAAAGATAAATTTTATCAAGGCAACAATTGAGCAGCAAAAGACGAGGAGGACACGTGGGAAGTGTCAGGAGGAGTTTTAAAATTCTAAAAAGGCCAAGTTTAGGAGGCGCATGTCGACCAATTAATCAAAGAAGTGAGTTTGCCCAAAGTGGGAGAGCAGCGGAGCTGCGTAGGGGCTTGGTAATGAGAAAACTATGCACCTTAAGGGAGTCTGGAATGACCTGAGAACATTGGTGTTTGACTATTGGGGTCTACGGATCTAATGTTAAGTAGGGGTTCTTGTGCGACCAGAGATTTAATATAACGGAAAGGAGCCCCTTAAATGAAGAAGGATGCAGCATAAGTTTGAATTGGAAGGTGTTGTCGCACCCTTAAATGATGTCTATAAGGGGTAGATGGGCTAGTACAGCTGGAGAGTGAGCTCGGACTCAGGAAGGGTCATTGATGTCATAGTGATTGTACCCTGTGCAGCAGTATTGGAAGATGCCAGGGAGAGTTTTCTATAGGTGGGTTACCTAAGCGAGAGGTTAGCAGTCGCGTGGTTGGCAAGGTCTCTGCGAAGGATCGTTATCGGTTATGGGGCAAAGAGACCGATCGTGCGAATGTAAGGGGTGAATCAGAGTATAAAAGAATGGGGTGTTGCGGAGAGAATCCGAGAATTTAAGCGACTGATCGCACAAGGTCATGTCGGTAAAGGCGAGGGAATCTTGGTGAATTCCAGAATTTGAAATAATGGCTTCAAGCTAAGTGGGAGAGTCCCACCGCCTATGATGGGGTTGTAGAGTTAACTACTCACGAGAATTTGTGGCTATTAGCATATAGGTGGACTATTTCAGCTATGGGGAAAGACCATTTGTGGCAATTTTGAGCAAAGGAAGTATTAAAGGTGGGCTATCGTTGGCCCTATTGGCTCATGATCGAACTTGGGAAAGGATTCAGGATTTATGCCTTGTATGGAGGCAGGTTTCAGAGGAAGTGGTTTCGCCGGGCGCTTCGTCGAGAGGGTATTCGTGTGTTATAAGATTTATGGGGTGGATTATGTTCGGGACCCAGTCGGAGCGGGTGGCTCTCAATAAAGGTCCTAGTGAATTCAGAAGTTAAGATATGATGCCTACGATTGCGAGCCGATAGGTACGGCTAAGAATCAAGCTTGGAAAGCAGCTTATGAGAAGAGGCACAGAATGGTCCGTGATGGTTGGCTTGTGATGTAGCAATTGGGAGGTATGAAATGGTTCGTGAGACTTGAGACAACATGGTCTCGTGATTCAAGGTCACTCGGGGTGAGTGTAGATGGAGTATGTTATGTGTTGAATGGAGTTAGTATTATTTCTAAGGCAAGCAAGGATAAATTGGAAGAAGGTAGATTGGCTAGTCATAGTTGAATTGGCATATTGGGGCTAGTGATCAGTTCATTCCGCGTGATCAAGTTATGGGTATGATTTGTGGCGGTACGTGTGAGACTTGTCGGCCGCCGTAATTGATGTTATTCAGAAGCATTCTTCTGTTATGGCTTGTTAAGTGGAAGCGGATTCCGGAAGGGCTATGGTGGCTTGGACCACTACTTAGAGATTTGCATATCCTACGGTTATGGGAAGTTACTTGTGTGTTGCTATGATTCTCCTGAAGTGAGTTAAGTGAAAAGCTTTTATGTGACGAAGTGTTAACCTATTAGTGGTTCCGAGTTATGATGAAGAGTCGTGTTCTATCGTATAATGGCATGTCGGGTGCAGTGAGTAGTATGAAATTTGAAGTGAGAATCAAGGTCGCAGTTCGGTGTTGACAAGGATGTCACGGGCTCGGATGAGCAAGGAAAAAGGTTGAATGATTNGGATTGTGCAACTCGATCTTCAACTAATAGTAATGCAAATTCAGTTGCCACAGTTAGAGGTAAATGTGGTACTTGATCACTTGTTATTATTTAAATTTGAATTCAAGTAGTGAACTTTTATTTATGAAAATGGAAGGAAAAACCTTAGATTTTCAAAAGTATTAAAAGAGGAATTAATTGATAATCTAGTTGGCTGGCCTGACAGAGGTGTCCGGCGCTTTCACGACCCTTAGTGGATTTTGGGTCGTGACAAGTAATCCGGAAACTTCATCTCTAGAGCTGAAGTTTTCTTCAAGTTATAAAATAAAAACTTCAGCTCTAGAGCTGAAGTTTGCCAGTTATAAAATAAAAACTTCAGCTTTAGAGCTGAAATTTTTGTTTAGTAACCCGGAAACTTCAGCTCTAGAGCTGAAGTTTCCCAGTTATAAAGGGAAGCTGGAGTTTTTTAAAAAGTGGGTACGGATGCAAACAAAAAGACAAAGCGGCTACAGGTTAAAAAGAGGCGCCCAAATAGGGCGCCCCGTGCAATTTTTACAAATTACTGGAAATCCAAAGTAAAGTCCATTTTCTGTTGTGGTGTCAAGAAATATTTATTTCTCACTTGAGAACTTTCTGAATTGCCGTTTCACTTCAGAAAGTTTGAACATCCATATTGTCAATCTTCTTCTTGAACTCTGTTGGCAAACGTGAAGATTCAATTGGCAGTATTGGTTTAATTTTTTTTCTCTTTTTCTCTCTATCTTGATATTTACTCTGTTTTTCATCCAACATAGATTCAATCTTTTTCTCTTTTTTTTTCTCTATCTTCCAATTTACTCTGTTTTTCATCCAAAAATATTTCAACTGCATTCCCAGTTTTCTTACTCGCCATCCTTCTCCTCACCTTCTTCTTTTGGGTCAACTACATGCAGCTTTTTTACCTTGCATTTTCGCAAGAATCGATTTTCACATTTAACATTGTAACTTCCTGATCACATGGTGCCAGTTCTACCAATGCGCCATGGTGTAAAGTAGTCTTTGATCCACAAGCAAAAAGGAAAATACAGAAGTGCAGTATCTTGTTGGATAACTCATGAATACACACTGCTTTGTTAACATGAAGATTAACAAAAAAATGGACTAAGACTGAGAAATTTCACTAGCCAGGATTGTGCAACTCGATCTTCAACTAATAGTAATGCAAATTCAGTTGCCACAGTTAGAGGTAAAATATATATATATATATATATATATATATATATATATATATATATATATATATATATATATATATACACACACACTTTTATACATCATACAACAGTCTATACACGTTGGATAGATATAAGTACCGGGATACAAAAAATATACAAAATAGACTGTCGCTATACAAAAAATATACAAAATAGACTGTCACTATACAATTTATATATAATATACTATCACTATACAAAATATATACAATAGATTGTCACTACACAAAATATATACAACACAGACTGTCAGTATACAATGAATATCCACTAATGATACATTAGGGATACACTAAAATATAGAGGATACACTTTATATACAAAATTTATACACTGTAATAGTATATATACAATTTTATACATTTTATAATTATCACTATGCAAAATATATGCAAAATAGACTGTCACTATACAATGAATATACACTAATGATACATTAGGGATACGCTAAAATATAGAGGATACACTTTATATACAAAATTTATACAATGTAATAGTATATATACAATTTTTATACATTTTATAACAATTTATATATAATTTTTATAATATACACTGAAAAATACAAAATACTCTTATATACAAAATTTATACAATGTGTATATAAATATTTAATACATTGTATAACTATATATATATATATATATATAAAATTACATATAAGTATCATCCAACCACCCCATTAAATCCATACCCACCATCGATACTCACTGTAAAAGTTCTTCACTCACAAAACACTATTATGAAGAAGTAGAAGAAGCTTGACTAGAAAACCTCACAACTTTTGCTGCCACTCTTGTATCATGCATTGTAATTGAGTAAATCCATTTAATAATTGAATTAAATTTTTGTGATTTTTCTAGGTACTCAAACAAATTTTTTCAGTGAGAAGTAAAAAAAATAAAGAGAAAAAATATAGATTTGAAATGGGGATAGAGAAGGGAAGGAAAATGAAAAAAAGATAAAAGGAAGACGAAGAAGACACCGAGAAAGACAGAGGATAAGAATGGAAAAATGGGAAAAAAAAATATGTGCATTGGATAGAATGAAAGAAAGATAAAAAGGCGTGCATTGGATATAATGAAAGAAAGATAAAAATCTAAAGTTTTCTTTTTAAACATTTAGAACTCGTACACTCAAAATTCTAGCTCCAACTCTGCTCACGTAACCCACTATATCTAAACCATTTGGCAAAATTTTATGGGCAAAATCTGATTATTTTTTTTCTATTTTTCCTTTTCACTCTCCACCTTGCAATCATCTAAAAAAAATATATTCATATCCACCTTTATATAATAATTTAAAAAAAACTCTCCACCGCAAAATCAAACTCCCTCGAAACACCCATTGATATAAAAAAAAATTGACGTATCTTCTTGTTATTAAGTTTTGATGAACATATGACAGCTACTAATTAGTTTCGTTAATAAAAAGGTTAAATATAGCTCAGTTTTATTACGGCTAAGGGCGTGCTTAAATTAAACAATTAACTAGTGACATATTAGAGCTTTCGGTATAGTTTAAGAATATATTTGGCTATTATTTTCTACTATAATTCCAAGTTATTGCTACAAATTGGAAAGAAACCCATAAACCCCCAGTTTGCACACAAAAAACGAGAAAGAAGCTCTCTAAGTTATCAAAGAAGAAGCCACTGGAGCATGTAATTTTATTATCAAAATTCAAGGACGTTAATTTCAGCCCCTTTTCATATGCTTGCAGCATTTATGAATTATCATATCTTTGATGTGATTATATTTATTCCAATTTACCGGTGCTGGTGGAATGTAGCAAGTATTTGATGGAATAATCGAGACGCGCGCATGCTGCCCATCACCACAATCATAAAAACAAAGTTTGGATATTTGGATATTTAACAAGCTTTCAATTTAGTTATATTTGATTAGATATTGAATCAGCATGTGTGCTAGTTAAATAAATATTCTCTTTCTTTCAGAATCCAGCTAAACCATTTGGATCACGAGGTCTTATTACGATCCCTCTTAGCAAACCTTTTCCTATTGGGTTGATTGATAGAAAAGGTAATGTGATGTGTCTTTTACAGTTAATTTCTGGTTAACCAACGAGATTCTTGTTAGTTCCTATGTTGAGCGGACTCCTCAAATTTTTTGTTGCTGCCCCGTGTCGGATCCTCAAAAAATACACTACTTTTGGAGGATCCGACACGCACCCGAAGACATTTTCCAATAGTCCGGGCAACATAGGTTAGTACAAGCTGATGTTATTTGTAGAGAACCATATTTTTGTATCGGTTCTTTGCTGTACTACCACTTGGGTATCTGGAGTTTTCCCGCATCAATAAGATTATTGCCTTATTAAAAAAAGTGCCGTGAATTATTTGGACAACTTATTAATGGTTTGTATATATGGTCCAAATAATTTCTACTTGGAATTTTCACAGATTTACTCTCCGGTTGTATGTTACATATTGCATTATCTCGGGACTCCTCTCCTCAAGAAAAACAATATCGAGAAAATCGGCCATGTGTCCGATCAATATCCTGGTCACCTATTGGATTTGCTCCAAATTCTTGGTATGATCAATGAAGCATATCACTTTAATGACCTTTGGCCTTTCTCAACAGTAATATGAATAACAATGTTTCTGCTTGATGTAGTTGTTTGCTTGCAGTCTGCACTACTGAAGGACATGTAAGGCTTTACCGGATGCCATTTCATGAGTTTTCAGCAGAATGGGTAGAGGTATGAATCAAACATGGATACGGAATAGTATATTCATAGCTTCTTGGTTCTCTACTTGTTTTTGTTTGTTGGAGTGCCTCAAATCTGTAGATAAGAAAGCTGTTTCTGTCTAAGATTGCAATGTACGATGAATCAACTCCATTGACCTAAAAGGAAAGAACCACAGTTGACGACTTGGAAGAGAAAATAATTCGAGTTCGGGTGCAGAAAGGCTTCGCTGGATCATGAGTGAATAGAAAATGTTCAATACGGGACTACTAGATTGATGCCAGAAAGAACTATTAAGATCTTTGTTTCTCTGTGATCTAATTTTTGCTGTTTGTGCACCATTTTTATGGCTTTTCAAACTTAAAGCACCAAACCCGATTGAAGATGCAAGAGAGACGAATCTAACATACGGAATGGAAGTCTCTTTTTAAGTATTGGTGCAAAGCTTTAATCTGCCTTCCGTCGAATGTAAAAAACCTTAGAGTTGCCTAACCAGTAATTCATCTTTGCATGAATGAAGAATGTGCTACGTCCTCACGGATCAAAGACTTTAATATCAAGAAAATACTTCTGAAACATAATATAATATTTTACTACCTCTATAAATGCCCAACAACTTTCAATACATCTTCTGCTGTAGTTCATGGCCTTGGTTTTAGATCCTGTATTCCTGGTCGATTCTCATTCCAAATATTTTTTCACTTTGTTGTGAATATCACTCTCCAAATCACATCTAACATTTCAGTAGAATCCTTAGTGACCAAGTAACATTTTCCAGGGGCTTTCTCCTGTTTTTTCATAATGATCTTCTGTTTTTTATCCTTCTAGTTGTTGCCCATTGATCTGGTTATCAAACTTCAACAGGTCATGGATATATCAAAGGAGCTGTATAGTTATCTCACAACTACCAATTTCCAAGCAGCAAGCTTTAGAGCATCGGAAGCTTCTGATGTATGTTAAATTCATTGCTTACTCCGTTATGAGAATTTTATGCTTTTTACATGATACATTGCTTCTTCTCTGGATATTAAGTTGTATTTGATTTCACTTGATTTCTATTCTGACAGCCTAGTCAAGCTTGCTTTGATGAGGGATATGCTGATGACCTGCCAATCTCTGTCATGAGAAAGGAACTTAAGCGACGGAGACTGAATGCATTAACTGTACTTGCTGATCTCTTTGGTTCCTCCAATTACTTTCATTATGCATGAATATCGTACTGTCATATGCTGTAAACTTAGACTGCAAAGAATGTAAACAGAGATAGAAGGGAAAAGATGTCAACAAATAAGAACTACGTTTGCCAAATAATTATTTAATTACTTAGATGACGAAATGTGCAAACTCTTTTTGTGATGCTATTACTTTTTTGTTAGGTGATGGAGGTCAAAGCTTTCAGTCAGAAAGGGAAAAATACTTTTAATGCTCCTCGCTCAAAAGCAAAGTCTTCTAAGAAAGTAGTTGAAGATAGCAGTCAATCGCTAATAACTGCAGAGGAATATGCCTCTCGCAGTGCAATGATGTCTTCACTTATTGTTGCATGGTCGCCCTGTCTGCCACAGACATTTGGGTGTGGTATATCTACTACTACTGGCTTGACCAGTGACTGTTCTGTACTTGTGGTTGGAGGGAAGTCCGGCATACTATCATTGTGGAGAATTCATAAACCAGATGAGTACTCTATCATGAACAGACCCGACTCGAACGAACCATTGCTTGTTGGACTTCTCAATGCACATGATACTTGGATCACAACAATCAGTTGGGGATTGTTCATTTTTGATGCTTCAGATCCTCTGCTTTTATTGGCTACTGGATGTTCTGATGGGAGGTGCGTAGCTATGTTGATAATATTCAATTTTTACCCTGTAACTGCTTTCGGTTTTAGATCTCATTGGGTGTATGGGTAAGCAAAGAATGGCATGAAAGTAGCAAGATATAAGCAAATATTGGCATGAAATGACAGAGATGATTGCCAGATATTGAGCAAGTTTTGCAGAATTTTATACACGGGAATAGTGATATGAGAGTTAATATCTTAGCTCTGAAGCTCTGGACAAATCAAGTACATGGGAGCAGATATGCGCCCTCCCTGATGACTTTAAAACGATTTAGTTAATGGTTCATATTAGTCCAGTGGTCAAAGGTCAAGCTATAGATTTCCAGGTCCTTATACTGCTAACCAATTATTGAACTAAAGTAAAAAATCAACTATGACTCAACTCCAAAATAGGTGGGGTCGATAAGAGATGCAAGACAAACTTGCTCAGGGGTAACCCATCTAGTACTACTCATGCACAAACATGTTTAGCTATGGGATCCAGTGCATAGCTGATATGGTTGCTTCTCACATCTTTTATCAAGGAAAAATGGTCGCATACTCACAATAATTAGATTACTTTTACGTTGGTTGTCAATCTGATGCAACCCTTCCTCTTTATCCTAACTTGTGATCGACTATGCTTTGTCCCATAGATTGAGTTAATATTTGACTTGAGTGAAAAAACAAAAATTATCAACCGTAGATTCTTGAGGCTGGTTTCACATCTTTGAGTTTCTACTCAATGAAATTTAAGGTCATGATTAGACCTATCGTATTTTCACGTGGTGGAGTTAACACTAGGCTGAAGGTTTGGAGACAGACCCTAGAGTCTAAAGAATTCAAGTTGACCAGGACTAAGATTGGAGTACTTGGAGTGCAAGTTCAGTGACGTAACTCATGAGGCAGATGTTGATGTGAGGATTGATACGTAAGTCATCCTTGAGAGAGAGAGTGTGTTTTAAATATCTTGGGTCAATCATTTAAGGAGATTGGGAGATTGACGATGATGTCACACATCGTATTGGAGTAGGGTAGATGAGTGTTCTGTGTGATAAGAAAATGCCACCACGACTTAAAAGTAAGTTTTATAGAGTAGTTGTTAGACCTGCTATGTTGTATTGGGCAGAGTGTTGGCCAGTTAAGAACTCTCATGCTCAGAAGATGAAAGTAGCGAAAATAAGAATGCTGCGATGGCTGTGTGGGCATGTGAAGAGGAGATGCACAGATGCCGCAGTGAGCAAGTGCGGGAGGTTGGCAATTGTGGGACTAAGGAGAGGTAGGGGAAGGCCGAAGAAGTTTTGGGGAGAATGATTAGACAGGACATGGCACATTTTCAGCTTATCGAGGACATGACCCTAGATAGAAGAATTTGGAGGTCGAGGATTAGGATCGAATTTAGGACATTGTACCTACTCAACCATATCAGTATTATTATTTTCATTCTCGTATTATCTTATTCTTCGATTTTTATCACTATATGTTGTTTCCCTTACTTCAGTTATTTTATTGCTTTGTTATTTTGCTTTTGTTACTGTTCTTGTTTTCATTAGTCTCAATTAGGCCTTTTCACTATTGTTTTTCTTTTTCAAAACTGCTGAGAATTGCTTTTCTTGAACCGAGGGTCTATCGGAAACAACATCTCTACCTCCACAAGATAGGGGTAAGGTCTGCGTAAGCACTACCCTCCTCAGACCCTACCCCGTGAGAATACACTGGGTATATTGTTGTTTTTGTATTTTCGCTCCTAAGAACTGCTCAGTTTCCATGATAAAGTCTTGATGAATTGAACAGCGAAACTTTAGCCATTATTTGCCACAATTACAAACAGTAAAAAGTCTAATTCTAGTTACAGCTGCATGCTTTATGCCACTGATTCAAGTGACTAATATCACAACCATATGTGATGATGTGAACGAGAAAACAATTGAGTGCTATACATTGACCAAAATGCATAACATGGTAAATGATGAATCACTTGAAATTAAAGAATGATTATACTGTCTGGGTTAGTGTTCACTTCATATTTGATATTGGACACTTTGCTATATTTCGAGCTATTCTTGAAGATTGATACCCGATGTCAGTATCCAGCGTGTTCTCACAAAAATGTTAGAAAGTGTTGCGCTAATGTCTGCAAAGTAACAAGTTGGAAAGGACAATCATATTGACTTATCTTTAGAAAGAAGAGGATGAAAGGTGCATTGGTGCTTCCTTAGTAATTTTTTTGTAAGGTAATTAATTTAATCAATGATTGGAAAATCTCCCGTATATGGGCAGTATAGCAAAAGTAGACAATCTACGACACAGTGTGATTCTCTACAATGATACCAATCTTCTATACAAACTAGAAAATCATGGGTACAGCAAGAAGAATTTAGGAATAAGAGGCTATTCCTCAAATATACAGTCATTCTCTATCCCTTGAAAAGCACTTCTATTATCTCCCCCTGCAGGACCCACATGAGTGCATACAACATAACATCCACGCTCTTCGACTTATCTTCCTTCTTCTAAACTAAATGTCCAGCTAGAGAGTCTCCTTCACTGTGCCTAGCATCACCTATGGCAGCTCGAACATTTCAAAATCTCACACAAGTGAGCTGCCACTTGACAATGCAGGAGGTGGTCCACATCTTCACTCGAACAATTCCACATATGCACCTGAAGCAGCAGCTAACATATAATCATCCTTTTTCTCAAAAGGTGCTTCGGTAGTAATTGACTTATCGTAGGAAAGAAGAGGAAGAAGGTGCTTAATCATAAAGAATGTGTTATCATCATTGGGGGTGTACGCTAGAAGAACCCTCAGTGAAATGAACCAGAGTCTATTCTGGATTAACACAAGATGTTCTGAATATGAACTCCCGTGAAAGAGGAATAGAATACTTCTGATATTTTTGAACTGGCAATCCTCAAATGTGCTCTCCTTTGCCTTTAAATTACTACAATCCTGGCATATATTATTACCTCAAGATTATAACTGAATGATTAAGAGAAGGGATGTTCCTTTTTTGCTTTTTACTACAACTGGGACTGCTTTGTCTGGGAATTTAATGCAATATTCATAGCAAAAAAGCAGCAATGGGAACAGTATACTTCAACACGAACACCCCCCCCCCCCCCGAACCCCGAAACTAAAAAGAAGTTGTTAGCATAGTGACTGCACCATTTTTCACCCGATTGTCTAGAGACTCCTCTGCTTTGTCTTTTCCTCCTTAGTATAACAGTATAACTCTTATGTTCTGAATTAACTGTTGGACTTTAAAGGCATTGGGCTTTAAAGTCCTTAGACTTGCACTTTTGAATTGGAAATGGTGGGAAATAAAATGGAGGGAAATGAAAATTTGAATGAAGTGAGCTTTTGACTTGCACTTTGTCCCTCATTGGTGAGGGGCAACTACATTTGTGTGCTTATATATAGAATCACTTCTTAAAGCTCTTAAAAGGAGTTGAAGAGAATGAACCCTCGCGCCGTCGTCGCTCGCTCGGCTTCGGCTTCGGCTTTGGATTTGGATTTGGATTTGGATTTGTCAAATGATCGATCAGATTATTTTTGGACAAAATTTATTTAATTAATTATTTAATATTTAATTAAATGCCAGATCACTACTGAAGATTCAGAAGGATAGTCTGGCCGCGGTCCTGGCGTAACCGCGGTAGGACCGCGCCAGAACACTGCTGCAGATTCAGAAGGCTAGTTTGGCCGCGGTCCTGGCGTAACCGCGGTAGGACCGCGGCAGGACGCGTAAACTTCTGAACAGACACCTTTTCCAGAACAAACATCACACCTCTTCCAATAATTGCCTATAAATTCTAAGGCATGGCTTCGTTTTTAACACACCAAAAACGTTACAGAACTTCCTTCTTTCTGAAAATACTGCATTCTAATTCGCAGTCTCTCTCTCAAATTCGTAAGTGTGATTTTGCTCCGTTCTTTGCGTTCGTTGGTATCCTGCAGTTTGTATTGCCACGGTTGCAGGAAGGTTTATTCCGTTTCATCCTGGGAGGATTTAATCCATTACCTTGGCAACGTGTGAGGAGGTTAAAATTCCTTAAGGACGCACAAGCAAATTGTGGACTCGGAATATTTCTTATTCTTTATTGTTTTCCAGTTTCTTTTATTCTTCTAACAATTTTCTGATTTTGTGTTTTAACACAGTAGCGAACGACAAGCTTAAGGAATTTTATACTAACGTTTCTGTGTTGAAATATATATTAAACTGTTATTTATATTTTGTATACTGATTTGGAGACTAAAGCCTTCGTGCTTTCTACTCCAATAATTGTTCTGTCTGGTTTAAAGTATATCAAAACTTTACCGGAATAATAAACGTACGGGTTTGAAGTATATAAAAACTTCACCATTGTTACGTGTTGTATGTTTGGTTTGGTATTCAGTTTGAAGATATCAAAACTTCACTGATTTAACAAAGTTCTGTTTTGTTTCCAACTCTACAGAAAAAATGACGAATGAAAACCAAACTAATGGAAATATTGCGGGAACGGGTGCTACTGTTACGAGTGTTGCTGCCTCGTCAAGCCGTTCAACTCCTGCTCATGCTATGGCACCAGCAGAAAAACCCGAAACGTTTTCCGGTATTGACTTCAAACGTTGGCAAATGAAGATGCTCTTCTATCTTACTATGTTGAGTTTGCAGCGATTTATCAAGGAGGATCCTCCGGTCCTGGCTGAAGGCACTCCGAATGACGAACGATTTGTTGTAACTGAAGCATGGAAACATTCTGATTTCTTGTGCAAAAACTACATTTTGAGTTGTTTGGAAGATAACTTGTACAATGTCTATAGTGTCATGGATACTTCAAAAGCGTTATGGAATGCGCTTGAGAAAAAGTACAAGACTGAGGATGCCGGACTTAAGAAGTTTGTGGCTGCAAGGTTTTTGGATTTCAAGATGATTGACACGAGGTCGGTCATAACTCAAGTCCAAGAATTACAAGTCATTGTGCATGACCTCCTTGCTGAAGGTATGGTCATAAATGAGGCCTTT